CGTAGGGGCAAATATTGTGATAATTTGAATAAACACCAATTTCAGGCCGAAATGGTAAGGGCCGGGATGGTTCAGCATTTTGAAGGAAAAAATTATATTTTTTGATCAGGCTAGTTACCCCACAATGAATGTACATACATGCCATTAGATGGATCCTGACCCCCATATCCCTTTGAAAGGGGCGTAGGGGCAAATATTGTGATAATTTGAATAAACACCAATTTCAGGCCGAAATGGTAAGGGCCGGGATGGTTCAGCATTTTGAAGGAAAAAATTATATTTTTTGATCAGGCTAGTTACCCCACAATGAATGTACATACATGCCATTAGATGGATCTTGACCCCCATATCCCTTTGAAAGGGGCGAAGGGGCGAAGGGGCAAATATTGTGATAATTTGAATTATCACAACTTTCGTGCCGAAATTGAAAGGGCCGGGGTGGTTCAGCATTTTGGAGGAAAATATTATTTTTTTTGAATAGGTTAGTTTCCCCACAATGAATGTCCATACATGCCATTAGATGGATCCTGACCCCCATATCCCTTTGAAAGGGGCGTAGGGGCAAATATTGTGATAATTTGAATAAACACCAATTTCAGGCCGAAATGGTAAGGGCCGGGGTGGTTCAGCATTTTGGAGGAAAATATTATATTTTTTTAATAGGCTAGTTTCCCCACAATGAATGTACATAAATGCCATTAGATGGATCCTGACCCCCATATCCCTTTGAAAGGGGCGTAGGGGCAAATATTGTAAAAATTTGAATTATCACAACTTTCGGGCCGAAATTAGAAGGTCCGGGGTCGTTCAGCATTTTTGAGGAAAATATTATATTTTTTTAATAGGTTAGTTTCCCCACAATGAATGTCCCTACATGCCATTAGATGGATCTTGACCCCCATATCCCTTTGAAAGGGGCGTAGGGGCAAATATTTTGATAATTTGAATTATCACAACTTTCGTGCCGAAATTGTAAGGGCCGGGGTGGTTCAGCAGTTTGGAGGAAAATATTTTTTTTTTTGAATAGGTTAGTTTCCCCACAATGAATGTCCATACATGCCATTAGATGGATCTTGACCCCCATATCCCTTTGAAAGGGGCGTAGGGGCAAATATTGTGATAATTTGAATTATCACAACTTTCGTGCCGAAATTGTAAGGGCCGGGGTAGTTCAGCATTTTGGAGGAAAATATTATTTTTTTTGAATAGGTTAGTTTCCCCACAATAATGTCCATACATGCCATTAGATGGACCCTGACCCCCATATCCCTTTGAAAGGTGCGTAGGGGCAAAAATTGTAAAAATTTGAATTATCACAACTTTCGGGCCGAAATTAGAAGGTCCGGGGTGGTTCAGCATTTTGGAGGAAAATATTATATTTTTTTAATAGGTTAGTTTCCCCACAATGAATGTCCATACATGCCATTAGATGGATCCTGACCCCTAATCCCTTTGAAAGGTGCGTAGGGGCAAATATTGTGATAATTTGAATAAACACCAATTTCAGGCCGAAATGGTAAGGGCCAAGATGGTTCAGCATTTTGGAGGAAAATATATATTTTTTTTAATAGGCTAGTTTCCCCACATTGATTGTACCTACATGCAATTAAATCGATTCTGACCCCCATATCCCTTTGAAAGGGGCGTAGTGGCAAATATTGTAAAAATTTGAATTATCACAACTTTCGGGCCGAAATTGTAAGGGCCGGGGTAGTTCAGCATTTTGGAGGAAAATATTATTTTTTTTGAATAGGTTAGTTTCCCCACAATAATGTCCATACATGCCATTAGATGGATCTTGACCCCCATATCCCTTTGAAAGGGGCGGAGGGGCAAATATTGTGATAATTTGAATTATCACAACTTTCGTGCCGAAATTGTAAGGGCCGGGGTGGTTCAGCATTTTGGAGGAAAATATAATTTTTTTTGAATAGGTTAGTTTCCCCACAATGAATGTCCATACATGCCATTAGATGGATTCTAACCCCTATATCCCTTTGAAAGGGGCGTAGGGGCAAATATTGTGATAATTTGAATTATCACAACTTTCGTGCCGAAATTGTAAGGGCCGGGGTGGTTCAGCATTTTGGAGGAAAATATTATATTCATGCCTCCGTTACGAAGTAGCCGGAGGCATTATGTTTTCGGGTTGTCCGTCCGTCCGTCCGTCCGTACGTCCGTACGTCCCGTTCTCGTGATCGCGTTATCTGAAGAACCGATTGATGGATTCCTGCCAAACTTTGGTCATGTATGTAATTACTTGCAGAGCCGATGAACTGATTAGATTTTGGGGTCACGAGGTCAAAGGTCAAAGGTCACAGGGCTCATTATGTATGCAAAAACAGCTCGTGATCGCGTTATCTGAAGAACCGATTGATGGATTCCTGCCAAACTTTGGTCTTGTATGTATCTTGCAGAGCCGATGAACTGATTAGATTTTGGGGTCACAAGGTCAAAGGTCACAGGTCACAGGGCTCATTAGGTATGCTAAAAGAGCTCGTGATCGCATTATCTCAAGAACCGATCGATGGATTCCTGCCAAACTTTGGTCATGTATGTATCTTGCAGAGCCGATGAACTGAATAGATTTTGGGGTCACGAGGTCAAAGGTCAAAGGTCACAGGGCTCATTATGTATGCAAAAATAGCTTGTGATCGCATTCTCATTAGAACAGATTGATGGATTCCTGCCAAATTTCGATCATGTATGTATCTTGCAGAGCCAATGAACTGAATAGATTCATGGGTCATGAGGTCAAAGGTCATGGGCCCATTATGTATCCAAAAATAACTTGTGAACGCATTCTCATTAGAACTGACAGATGGATTACTATTTAACTCAGGACATCTTGCAGAGCCAATGAACTGAGTAGATTTTAGGGTCATCAGGTCAAAGATCAAAGGGTCATATATGTATATGAGAAATTGCTTGTAATCACGATATTCTGAGAACCTCTTAATGGATTACAATTGAACTTGAATTTGAAAAATTTCTTCTGTTTTGGTTTGTAAAATTGCTCTATGACGGAGGCATCATTTTCGACTGCGCGCAGTCGAAGTTCCATCTAGTTATTATTATTATCATCATCATCACCATTATTATATTTTATTTTGTCAAACTAATGTGAAATAATATTACATGCATAACATTTAAGTGGAGTACAATCATTGTTTGCCCTCTGGTATTAAGCTTCACAATAAAAGTTGTTAAATCAGTAAAAAATCTTTTTCTTTTCATATGTAATATTATTTTGATTTTCTCTGTAGAGTAACGGTAGTAACTCTTCATATCCATTTGATGGTATTGCAATAAAAAGTGATAAACCTCATTCCAGTTGTTTCCTTCATGCAGTGAATATAGTAGCCATGTGAAAGGGAATTTGTAACATGTATTTGAGTGTGCAGATGTGTGTGAGTGGGTGGGTGGATACCGAGGACAATCATAAGAATCGTACCTTCACTTTGACAACCCCTTGCAAAACAAGAATGTCCTGGGTTCGAGTACCCTGTAATTTTTTGGCTTAAAATTTGATAATCTTCCATCTAGGGGTATGTTTATTTAGGTGCTCAATTTGCACAGAAAAAGTAGGTCCTTGCTTATGCTGCAAATTTCTAGATCGTACTTGGTGTGTTATATTACCTTGAATATGTAATAACCTACTGATATGTATAAGGAATCCTTGATTTTACACTGCAATTGTGTGTGTGTGTGAATTTTTGTTTAAAACTTGTAAAATGATATGGCAGTAAATGAGCTGTAAACTGTAATATATATTTTTTAATCCACTAGTCTAAATTAAGTTCTAGAATTCTCATGTACAGGTAGGCAATCTCATCGGTCATATGACACCATGTCCAAGCAATTTTCTTTCTGATCATGTAAAAACAATTTCTATCAACAATTTATTTATCTACATAGAGTTAGGCCTAACACTGAGAGTGACATATATATCCCTATATAAATGATATCTGTTAGCATGTTATTCAAACCCTAGATGATTCTCCTTTAAATTTCCTTTATCTGTCTGTCGATCTATAAGATTAGAAGAGAGGGAGAAAGAGAAAGAGAAAGAGAAAGAGAGAGATGGGGGCAGGAGCAGGAGCAGCAAAGCTTTTTCCGAAGTGGAAGGGGGGGGGGGCACCAACAAAAAAGGGCACCAACAAAAAAGGGCACCTTCTGGAACAAAAGGCATCTACAAAGGGAGACCTCGGAGGGAATATACCATTTTTAGACATTGGTATATGCCCCTACATTGTTTTGGTTGTGATTACATTATGGATAATATCAATATGTGTTCCTCTCTTTACATGGTCCCAGATACTGCTTAATTAGCCTCGTACTTTGCAGTTGGGTGTGATGGTCTGAATATTAATGTGCGAGTGATAGTGACCGAGCAACAAGATAAGATTTGTGAGGTTGCAGTGTGTAAAATGACATCTTATATAGGGGATAAAAACAAATCCTGATGAGTTTTATAATTAACATAATCACATGTTTATCAATTATAAATAAACTTTGGGGGGGGGGGGGGAATTAAAGAAAAAAAGAGGGCTCGTGAGTCGCTTTTAATTTAGGGTACAAAAAAAATATGGGGGCACTTTTGGAAAACTTGAAAAAGTGGGGGAGGGGACACTGCACTCCCTGTAATAGTAACAGTAATATAATACCAACATCAACAATAATAATTATAATATAAATATAAATAATAACAAGATGGTAATAACAACACTAATAAGATGATACTCATGATAATAATGTTAAATTAGATCTTATATTAATTATGATAATGATATTAATGAATATTGACAATAACAATAATAACAAACCTCCAGTCAAAACTCTTCTTCGGAGTATTTAGGAGGAAAATAATCCAAGAAGAATAGTGAGACGATTAGAGGCACTGCATGGGATTGTATTTGTGTGTGCATCTTTCATCAACAATTGAAAATCACGGACTGATCATCTAGACTATTAACAACAACCAATCAGCTTCCATTATGAACGTCACATGACATTTTCAGCTGGTGGTGAATTTAAATCGCCGTAAAAACAAGTTTGACGCACTGCTCTGACCTCTGTTATTGAAAAGTTCCCAGGTAAGTAAATGCATTTTAATCCATAAATATAATGAATTATTGCGATTGTTGATTGGTTGATAATTGTGGTTGTATGTACAGTTCCGCTAAATTTAGCGTAAACGACACGCTGCCAGACATGCCAGACATGCCCGAGGAAAGTCACGCCGGATCTTCGGGCATGCCAGGTATGGAACGGTAGGCCTAGCACGGCCCAGGCGCGGCGTACGGCGTCCTACGAGACGGCCGTTGGCTGTGAGATGCTTAGGCAAATGTAACTCCGGGAAGCTCCAACACCGGCGCGCTGCGCGCCGGTGTTGGAGCTTCCCGGAGTTAAGGCAAATGAAGCGCTAGGCGATTCGTATAATATTCGGCAACGGGCACAGTCTAGATTCTAAACAGAAAATGTCTGTGTCTTTCGTTTGTGAGCCTCTTATTTGGGTAGGGTCGGCTCCCCTCTTTAGAGACAGAAGCCGACCTTCGCAAACATTGCCCCAAATGCCCCAAATTAATATGAATTAATATGAGTGAATTTCATTTTTAGCGGATTCATATCCGATGCATTTATTTATTCTCGAAAATTAGACCTAGATCTAACTTAGATGTCTAGACTCTAGTCTAGATCTAGGCTATTAAATGACGATATAGATCGGTTCCATGCACTAACCAGATTGACTGTATGATGCGTACTTTGAAATTGAGGGTCTTTTTCCTGGATTTTCTTCATCGAAATTGAGCTCCATCTAGTCCATGACCATGTTGAAATTCTTGCAGCCGTATTTTAAACTGTTGTTACTTGTTAGTGTTACTGTTATTGTTAGTGTTACTAATAGTACTAGAGTCTAGTGTTGTTAGTATATGGTGGTGTGACCCAAGTTCTCGCGTGAGCGGCGTGACCAAAGTTTGCTTTCTAAAAAAATTGGTAACAGGTAAGATTTCAAAAATCTGTAATCACCAATGGAAAGAGGATCATAAAATTACCCAGAAACGAAATTGTGAAAATATTGACAAAAGATCAGCAAATTTAATTTTGCATTTATTTGCGTCCGTTACGAAAAATTATCAACTTACCGATAAGGCCTTAAGCCAGGGTCTGGAAATTTTCATTTTGAGAGCAATCTTCAACATTGTAAGTAAAAAGTGGTACCGGTACCAACTGATTGTATGATATCTTGCCTTGCAAATTATGATATTACACTGTACCTTATTTTCGATGGATCACATTTTTTGATAAATCAACTGTAAACCCCTGTGCATGAAGCTTGAAGTTAGGTCTTGTTGTTTTTAGAATTTTTTAGATGCAGGGCGCACACACAATTGGACATCAAATTTTTAGATCGCAATATCTCCAAAATCCTTCCACGATGAATTTTCTAGTTAAAACAATCTGTAGTAAATCTGCTGTCAATTTGGTAATAATTGAAATAAATAAATTTGTGTAGAATATGAGAAATCATAGATCAAAAATCACATTTTGTAATACATTGTATGCTCTAAAATGTCTGTGAAATTTGGTCACCCCTTCATACTGTTAGGCCTAACTCCAGCGGCGTCAACGTCGGATCTTCCTGGAGTTTAAACACCTTTACGGCGTCTTTTGGAGGAAACCTACCAAGTACCAAGTTATGTTAGGCCTATAGACTCTATGCGCATGAAGGAAGATCATGATGACGTCATCCATATTTTTTCTAATGCTTAGTCCAATAATATTATTCCACATGCTATATTCTATAGATCAAGCCTACTTGCCTGAGATTGTGAGTGTGACATCAGAATTCATATCACCCTTTTGTAGTTTTAAAATTTATTGTAATATTGATGAAAAAAATTTTCCTCATATTTACAAGAAAAGATAACAGGACATTCTTTTCATAACATAGGATGCAATAATTGAATTGAATTCAATTGCATGTTATTAATAATTATGCAGTAATGTTTATTAACATGCCATGTTATTGCCTGAAATCTCCAGGCATATTTCTTCAGGAGTCGAGAGGAGATGGCTCAGATGATGAATGGCAATACACGGGACAACACCACTGGCAACTTGACCAGTCTGGCAAGATTTCACAGCATGACAGGCAAGTTTTTTTCTGTATTTGCAGGGTTTGACAACATTGGGCTGCCGCTGTAAGTAAATGGCTCTCAATATTTTTGAATGAACTACCGATATAGTATAAAACTTGAATCACTAATAAAGTAATATTCTTTTTACGTTCTTAAATTTTAATGTAATACTAATAGAATGACTTTTATTTTTACCAATAGTGTTGAATAAAATCTCATCACATGTCATTGCATTTTTATTTTTTTTTGTTTCCTAGTATAAAACTCATATCAATGGTAAAATAATATTTTTTTTTTGTCTTAAAGTTTAAAGTGAAATTTTACCACCAGTGTTGATTACAATCAAACCACATGTTATTTTCATTTTCATAAATGTGACATAAATATAAAATAGTATTATTATCAATATTACTTTCATTTTAGAGAATTAGGAGCGTATTGATCAATGAATTTTTTATATGATTCCCGCAGACCACACAGAGTGCATGTCTGAGCTTGCACGACATGGCAACAAACCCTGTGAATGGCTCGCCTACCTCTCCCTGGTGGAGTCTCATACGGTACACGCAGAGGAGACCAGTCGCTACCGATTCCTGAGCCTGGCCTTCAACCGTGCCACCAAACAGATCCCCATTGACAAGTACTGTGAAGACCCGGCGTACGCCAGGATCATCATCAAGCTTGCTCACCTCAAAGCGTAGGTTTCACTTTCAGTGTTTTATTAATTTTTTTTTTCTTCATTTATTTATCAGGTATTTACATTAACAATTTAAAGGCCCACTGTACTACTTGTAGCTACTTGCTCCCTCTACGGTATATAGAAAACAATGCCTAATCGGTGACCATTGGTCCCCTATGACCCTCTTTTTCTTATGTTAATTGAGAGCTGAGTTGATGAGATAGCCAACTGTCAGTGACCTTCCTGGGTGGTCTAATCCCCCTGGCCAAACTAGTGCAGACAAGCTTTAACAATTTAAGCAAGAAATGAAACTCAAACTTTTTTTCTTTCTCTGTGTTTTTTAGAACCCATGATGTGGATGACGGACGCATGATGTTCAAGTTTGCCAGGGCCAACGTCCGGAAGCAGGCCATTGTGCATTTGGAGGCAGCAAAATTTGAAGAAATTCATGGTAAATGAGATAATTAATAATCATCCTTACATTTTGCTCTTAACCCTACATTAAACATGTAGTGAAATAAACATTTCTGTCTTATATAATCATAGAGATTCAGGACATTCATATGCTAAGTATTGCATTCTTTTATGTGATTGTGAACATGTTGCTGGAAACATTAGTGCTTCATGGAATGTCATGGAATTTAGTTTTCAAATTTCTATGGGAACCCTGTACAATGGACTGATATATATTTCATATATTTTAATCCCCACAGGTGACATGAAGAAGTGTTTGGGCATCTTGGAGAAAGGTTTCAAAGTGACCTCTGATCCCCGACTCTCGGAGGCCCTCCATCGGGTCAAGAACGGACTTCCCATTCTCCTAGACTCACAAGAACCAATGGAGTCACAAGATGGTCAGTTATGTCTTCATTCATTGTCAGCTCATGTATGAATATAATGATTGATAATGATAAAAAATGATTATTGTTTATACAAAGTCTCTGAGCTGTGCATTGCAATACACATATTTTGCCTCGGCTCAATGACAGCAGTCAATATTTCTGATCCAATGTTTCTTGTGGGAAATCCCCCGATTTTTAATTGACAATGTATAACGACCACAATATATCCCATCCCATATCTTGTCTAGTTTCGGAACCTGCTTCAAGATCAAATTCTCATTGAAACCAGTACAAAATCGATCTGTGCAGAAAGGCTGCCTGCTTATGGAGAAAATCAATTTAGAGGGAGAAAATCAAATTATCCAATTTATTTTAGATCATAAGAGGATAATTATGTCTTGTTTTTCTTTATCAGGACCACAAACTATGAGTGCAGCACCAGCCCCTGTACAGCCTTCTCACAAGTAAGTGTCATGGGAAACATCAACCATCTCAATTTCAAATAGACCATTATTATAATGTAATCAAATTTAGAATACAAATCTTTTTTAAGTGCCTCTTTACAACTTTGTTATATACATGTTATAAATAATTGTATTTCAATAGTCAGAATGCGAATTGCACACATTAATTGTTGCTAGCTAACAGCACACAATGTATGAAATTCGCATTCTGACTGCTGGTATCGACTATTTTTAAATGTACAAAAAGGTGTGAAACGTGTAGTAAATTGGTCCAATAAGCATTTTGACCAATTTCAAATTTTGGCGTTCGCACTGACATGGGTGTGACCAAAATTTTACCCATGACGTCAAGTTTATGCATATCAAATATCATTCATAAATGACAATGTATAATGGAAATATGGTTAATAATAAAAATTAACAAAATGGCGCCTAAATGATGTCATGCATCAGTAATACAAAAGATCTCTTTGTTAGGATCAATAATAATGCATATGGCACATGTCATTCATGAGATGTGAAGCAAACAAAATCCATACAGAAAGAATAGGAAAAAAAGATTAAAAAAAAACTAAATCAATGGTGATCTGCCGCAAATTTTAATTGCATTTTATCTCACTAACATAAAATGATCAAATGAATCTCAGAATACTGCCCCTGTTCTTTAGCCCCAACATATGCATAAAGAATAAAGACCATTCTTGGGTGGGAATTGCCACCCACATATTAAAATGATTGAATGATTCAATTTTTAACCTTGTTTCCTTCATTTCCTTGTTCTGCAGTGCATCAGAAGAGAAGATATCCCCCCATGTGCCTAGTTCCATGGAGTATGTTGACACCACTATTAGTTTCAGGAGACCTGAGGTTGGGTCAAGGTGAGAGAATTCTTCTGCTTAACATACATGTACATGTCATCCCCCAAAATGATTGTAGGAATGCCTTTCGATATATACAATATTCTTTACAGAAATGTACAATAGAGATATATAAATACTCAAGAGATACAAAGCACATTAATGTAAAACAACAGAGTTGTACTTTATTTTCAAACGTTAAATTACTACACACTGATTTCTGTAAATAATGACACAGTCTAGAGAAGGGTTCTTAACTTACAGTTATCATTGCCTAAACTAATGCTTTTTATTTTACATGATGGATATATTATAAATACTTTGACCCACTCTAGCACTGCCTATTCTGTTTAATCTTTTTTATTTACTGCCCTGTTTTCTATGTTTCTTCTCCAGAATATCTTCCCACCCAAAGTGTGATAGTGATCATGAAAGTGACACAATGCCCATTAATGCCGGATCAAGGTTTTCAGGATTACAGACTCCCGACGTCGCCAACAAGTTTGGCGTCTTTGGAAGTAGCAGACGCAAAAGAAGGTAAAAGAGATGCAAGACAATTTAAAAATAGCTTGACTTAATTGAGTTTTGTTTTTCATTTTTACATGCATATCAGGTCATGCAAATTCTTCTCCATTTTTCAAATGTATTTGAACTTCATTGATGTTTAGAACTTCATAAAAACACATATTTCTACCTTTTGAGAAAGGCTTCATAAATGCTTATAAAATACTCACAATTAACAGAATTCTTTCGTATTCAAATTTCATATTTGTGATATTACTAATTCACTATGTACATGTAACTGTTTCTTTGGATATTTGATGATAAATGCTTTTTGTAATGTTACAGTGGTAACATTGGTATGCCGATGAGAGTCAGTAGGACCAGTCTGCCTCAGCTCAAGAAGGAATCCAAGGATGATGACGACGACGATGATGACGACGATGATGATGACGATGACATCAGACCACTGAAGTGCAGCCCCCAGGAGACAAAGCCTGGACCTCTAGCACCGATCACGGAGAAGACCAACGAAAGCGATTCGGGCGTCCAGACGACACCTAGGGATCTCACCCAGACGGACAGGAATCCTTTTACCTTCAAAGAGAGGACCATTGAGATGGGGGCAGAATCGACTGTGCCGGGCCAATTGGCCAACTCGATGCAGAGGTACTTGTATGTTTGTGGTCTGTTGAGCAAAAAAGGTGTTAAATTGTACCCTTAAACATAGATGCCCAAATTCACAAAGGAGGTTTGAATATACCCATGGTTTAAACCCTCATTTACATAACCCATGGTTTGAAATTAGCACAAATTAAGCGTGCCTTGAATGCGTCAAATATTAGACCTTTGACTGTGTCACGCTTATTTTGGGCTAATTTTAAATCATGGGTTATGTAAATGAAGATTTTAACCATGGGTTAAATTAAAACTTTGAGCAGATTATGTGATGTTGAAATTTAATAATATTTACTCAGCAATGGTGTATACAGGCATTGTATAATAAGCCATGTTTTTCCTTATTTTTATAGTCGAAGGGTCCATGCTCTTGCCATTCTTTATATATTTCATAAACCTTTTATTATTATTCCATTATTATTGTATTCAACTCTTTCCTTTTTTTACATACCATTTTCACATGCAGACATGACCCTCTAATGTCAGTTCAACAAATGGCTCATCCTCAGATGCCAGTACAACCACAATGGCAACAACAGCAACCACAACATTCAGTGCCACAAATGAGCATGCCACATGTAGATGTACAACGAATGCAACCTCTTCAGCAACAGCTTTTCCAGCAGCCTACCCCTGCTGGCATGCAACCCAACTATCAATTACCTGCACCACAGATGGTGAGTCATGTCTATAGTCAATTTTTGTTTGTTTAAGGCAAGAAGAATACAATTTGGAGGATGCACAGAGAATTCTACAGATCTTTTCAAAGGGTTTCTCATTAGTGTCTAGTTCTTTAGAAATCATAATGTCCATTGATATATTGCAGCCACTATACAAATGTACTCTACTGCGCTTCATAAAAAGGATGATATGATCAATCTGGTTGTAGCTGAAGTGTCATGATAAGGTGCTAAAGCGTTCAAAGAATTTCCTTGTACCAGCTCCCTATACCATTCACCTGGGTGGAGAGTGGCAATTGTAGATTGATGTCTTGCCGCCAAAAGATACTAGTGAATATCAAGTCAGATCTTGTACTTGTACACAGTATGTAATCGTTCCAACTCACGTGTTTCAAGTTGCTTTCCAGTAGACTTACCCCTTATGTCTTTACATCCCATTCCATGCTTGTGTATATAATTTATCTTGTTCTTCATTTATCCATTGTTTCTTGACTACATTAGTTTCATGAAGATTCAAATCACTATAGAAAACTTAGTGTTCATAATCACATTCAATATGGGATGTTCCTTGTTGTTTAGCACCAAAAAAAGGGAAGGAGAGGGAAAGGGAAAGAATGGTTTGAAGAAATTTTTAGATTTATTTATATACACATGTGTAAATGTCAGTCCTTTGCTCATTACATTCATATTAGTTTTCAGACTCGTGCCTGATTTTAAGCCTGCCACCTCCTTTTCAGATGTTTTCATGCTCCATATTGCACAAAAAATAAAGGACATTGGCATGTTTTTGTCACTTTTTGTCTCTTTTCTAGCTCAAAGAATAAAATCAACTGGTAAAGTATCCTTACATGACAAATCTTTAATTTTTAAAAAAATATAAAGTTCTTGTCCATTTCTTTACAGGTGGCCCCCGTCCCTCAACCCAAGTCTAAGAACTTGATACAGGTGAATGGCAAGGGATACTCCATCATTAGACTCATCGGTAAAGGTGGCTCATCCAAGGTGAGAACAAGGATTTAAAGCCCAACTGTACTACTTACTTGTAGCTACTTGCTCCCTCTATATAGAAAACAATGCCTAATCTTCTTGTGTCATTTGAGAGCTGAGTTGATGAGATAGCCACCTGTCAGTGACCTCGCTGTGTGGCGTTTAAAGATGGCCTTTAAAGGGAGAGAGTTGTTGGTTTCCATCTGCAGAAGGTCATTACTTCGCTGACACCAGACTTGTTGGAAATATCATTAATGGGTGTACAAGTCTGCACAAAGCAAACCCATAGGCCAACCAAGAGAGCCTCAGAAAGCCTTCATCTTCCGGTGATGCAAATGTTAGATGATGAGTTTACCATATGGGGAAAAGGCAAAGCAATGCTTAAAGCCAGTTGGTCATAAAAAAATGAAGGCTGATCCTGTTGATTGACAACACCTGTTATTGGGTAAACACCCGAAAAGTTTCAATTTCCCCATGAGAGCCCACTTCTATGTGTCTTTACATGATGAAAATAATGACATTGATCGTTATAAAGATGATGATGATGAGGATGATGAAAGAGATGATAATGGGCAAGATAAAGACAGTGATAAAGATGAGATGATGATGATAACTTTTAAAATGGTAAGATACACAATAATCAATTTTACACAAAGATGATGAGCTAGAGACATATACTGGGACCCGTTTCACAAAGCCTTTTTTAAATGACAAATAACAAAAATCAGTGACGAATCTGTTGATATCCAATCAGGATTAAGGATTTCAGTAGCTTATAACAAAAATTGTCATTTGTCATTGATGACAAGTTTTGTGAAACATTTCCCAGGTATAGCAAGAGAGTGAAAGTAATCCAATGGTGTGTAGATGTCTAGATGATATAGACTATAGCAGAGAAAACAAGATAGGAAGGATAGGGAATAACGACAAGAGTTACACATGTATTCCATAAGAGATATGACATGACTGATATCATCAACCTCTTTTCCATACCCTTCTTCCTATCTTGTGCAGGTTTTCCAGGTTCTCAGTGAAGACAGTAAGAAGCTGTGGGCTTTGAAGTACGTGAAGCTGGACTTTGCTGATGAGATGGCCATGCAGAGTTACATGAATGAAATCACTCTACTAGCGAGACTCAAAACATTCAAAAGGATCATCCACCTCCATGACTAGTAAGTAGACGAAGAATCTTACTACATGTATTTTTATTCATTATTTTGATTAGTGCTGTAGTCAAACGTTTAATCGTCTGGTATCCGACCATCCATGGCACCATCCGTTTTCAATTGGACGGTTTCGTTAACCTGTTTTTTTTATATTTAAAAAAAAAAAAAATTAAAAAAAAAATTTCTTTTTATAGGAAAATCAAAGGAAATCACATTTTCAACAAATAATGTACATAATTAGAGACAAAATAATTGAACAAAAACAAGTTTGGGCAACATTATAGTCATCATAAGTCAGCCCTGACTGTTGAATGTTGAATTGCAGAGCAACAATCTACACGATAACAATCAATTGCAAGAATGTAGATTGAGAAGTTGATGCGTAAAAAACTAAGTTCCCAGCCTTGAAATACATACACAATATTTCACTGATGCCATTTAAATCCCAAATCCTGACCTCTGTAATATCACGATCGTGAGCTATAAACATGAATACACTTGCGTACTAGATTCATTAGCTTCATAAACAAAGTGAAACCCAGTCATTGTTCCAAAGCATGCCCGACAGTAAAGTCTTTGTTTTTGTTCAGTGATTTGTTTCTAATTATGTACATTATTTGGTTATAGTGTGATTTCTTTTGATTTTCCAATTAAAACACAAATAATAAAAAAATAATAATCATTAAAAATTTATTTAAAAAAATAAAATAATAATAATAATTTAAATTTAAAAAAAAAAAAAAAATTGTTTAACCGAAAACCGTCCGGTTTTGACTGGCGATTAAATGGAATTGGGTATATCCATGATGTTACAACACTAATTTTGATATGGTCTAGATTGGATAGATTTAGATGGCCTTGCAGATTTTCTGACTTATCATTTCGGTGTACACATTTGCTTTGTCGTTCGTAATCTAGGCTTTATTTTGTTGAAAGAATCGGGTTGCAAATGGGTTTTTTGGTTTATTTTAGGGTTAGGTATTGTTAAAGATAAACTTGAGTTCTGGATAAAAAAGAAAATGAATTCTCACAGAATCAAACGTAACTTACACTGAATGTTCAAGATTACAAATAAATGTCATTTGTCAAACAATTTTGGTAGAAAATGTATACTGGCTGAGTAATGCGCATAGAAAGATAAGGAGGTCAAGGTAAGCAGGCCCGAGACCATTTGTGTAGTCCAATAAACATCTTTCTGTTTACAGGGCTTGTTACTTTACCATGACTGGGTCAAATTTGTTATGATTTCGATGACTCCAGAACCTTGCAGTACACACGAATACTTACATGCTACATGATCAACTTTTCTGATCTATTCCACACCTTTTCTTTCACAATGCAATCGCATGACCAGAACTCAACTTTATCTTTATTCAATGTAAGGAATTCAGTTAGTGTAGGAAGCAAGTGTCCTACAACCCAGACAAAATCATGTTTCAGACCAAGATTTTTTTTAACTTCCAAATATTTTCAGTGAGATAACCGAGGACTACATCTACCTTGTAATGGAATGCGGTTCCATAGATCTGGCAACATTCCAAGTGTCGTACAACTCGGAGACAAAATCATGTTTACCAAGTTTTTTTTTCTTCTTCCAAATATTTTCAGTGAGCTCACAGAGGACTACATCTACCTTGTAATGGAATGCGGTTCCATTGACCTGGCTACATTCCTCAAGAAGAATAAAGACAACCTCTCCCCTCATCACATGTGGTGCTACTGGCAGGAGATGCTGGAAGCTGTCGATGTCATTCATAAAGAAGGTGGGTTGTTGTGTCACCAGGCTTGATGGCAGGAAATAGTTTTTTCTTGGTGCTTGTTTATAGAAGGTTGAGTTCTGGTAAAGATTACAAAATGATTTGTAAGCTCTCTCTCTCTTTATGTCGGTATGGAAGAATATGATAGTTCAAATATATACAGAAAGAAATGTCAAGAAAAAGCTCATTGTTTGGACCAAACATTTGTGTGATGTTCAACAAACTTAATCAATTTAGTTTTATTCTGATCAATCCAAAGCCTCACAGTATGAGTCAGTTCTTTATATAATATGGACTGGCCTTGAGGGAGATACAACATATATTTCCCAAACTAGACTCGTATTGCCCCGAGTCAAAGACAAGGGCAATATGGGTCTTGTGAGGGCAATATATGTGGTATCTCCCGAAAGTTAAGCCAGTCAATATTGTTATTGTTATCAAAATCAGACATCTAGAGCAAATACATAAATCAACCATGACAGTCTCAAAGAACTGAAGAAACTTTGTCAAACCAGCACTGTGCATCCAGTGCTTGACCAAATTATTGATACACTGCAAACAGTGTACCTAATTTGGTGTGATTATTGCATCACAATAGAGTGCGCGCAAAGTTTGCAGGTTCTCGTATGCATAATAGATGCCCATTGAAAATGACACAATATGGCGCAGTGAATATGAGACTTTATGTTCTGCTTTTTTAACTCGTAAAGTCCATAGGCTTTTCATGAGAGAGTAATATAGTCTCATATTTACTGATTATCTCTTTTAGGATTACAAAAAGTGTAATATGATTTTGTAAAACCACTGCTCAGATGTCTGATACGGGTAATAATATGTAATAATTATAATTCACTTCCCCCATTGCTTCTAGGCATCGTACACAGTGATCTGAAACCGGCCAACTTCATCTTTGTGGAGGCCAGTCTGAAGCTGATTGACTTTGGGATCGCCAACGCCATCCAGAATGACCACACCAGCGTGGTCAAGGAGTCTCAGGTCGGGACACTCAATTACATGTCTCCCGAGGCCATTCAAGACACCTCTCCGGTCAATGAGGTCAACGAGTACGGACACAAGAAACCTAGACTCAAGGTAGCAATATTTGTCTTAAAGCCCCACCGCACTAGTTTCACCAGGAGGGATTAAACCTCCTTGCATGGTCACTGACAGGTGGTTATCTTATCAAATCAGCTCTCAATTAACATAAGAAAAAGAGGATCATGGGGTACCAATGGTCACAGATTAGGCATTGTTTGCTATATAGAGGTACAAGTAGTGCAGTGGGGCTTTAACCCTATCTTAACTGGGCTATTTCAGACCAGGTTTTACTGGGGGGGGGGGTCAATTTGACCCCCCCCCCCCCCCTAAGATCTCGGCCGTTTCACACCGCCGATCGCCGCAAAAATTTGCATGCATGTCAAGTGAAGTGTAAAGAATACTATGGTAATTTCAAATTTTTGAAAAATTCACTCATTTGCATATTTATGCTAATTTATGCAAATAAGGTCATAAAATTCACATTTCTGCCCATAAATCATAGATTATTCATATTTAAGTATTCTTTTTCACTACATATATTTATTAGACCATTTGGAATAATAATACAACACAAAAAATTGGAAGAGCCAGGTTATTCCTTATGTTATCTCTTGTTTTGATAATTTCTTATGTATTTCATTGTTTTTTTAACTTATGTATTTTATTGTTTTTGTTGTTTTATTTCATTTATAACTACAATTCAACTATTTTGACCCCAAAACAAACATCTAAACTTTAAACAAGACTCAATAACCATGTTTTATCTATTTTTAGGAAAAATGACTTTTACATATGTTTTGTACACAAATCATGAAATGAGCGATTTTCGGGCTGACATGCAAAGTCAAAAGGTCACGTGACCTTGTAACCGTAGGTCCGATTTTCGAAAAAATTGTTTTAAAAGATGCGTAAGACTCGAAAGTAAAAAGTCGTGAAAGGAAAATTTTATATCTGCCGCGGTTTCGGAGTAGTCGCGAAATTTCTACAGGGGGGGTTCAAATTGACCCCCCCCCCCCCAGTTAACATAGGGTTAACGTTTTCTTCTTCTACTCTTCTTTTTATCAGCACATAACAGTTTAGAATTTTCTAATGGTCTCACTGTCTCTGCAATTTTAAGTCTCCATTATTCATTTATTAAGAAACAGTAAATTCCTTAATGCAAATTTATGTTCAAATGACAAAAAACAGCTATTTTCAACAATGTTGAGTCTGTGGTATTCCTTCCATTAATGCTGGAGATTTGTGCAAGTGCTCAGCCACTGGGTTACACTTTGGTAGACATCTCAAGGAGAGGCCATCAGTTCCCCCCCCCCCCCCCCAAAGTTTCGAACCTGAGACAAAGCTTTTATTTACATGCTTACACTCTTTCATCTTCCTACCCACCGTTACAGATCAACTGCAAGAGTGATGTGTGGTCTTTGGGCTGCATCCTCTACTCCATGGTGTACGGCCGCACACCGTTCCAGCACATTGTGCACCGGCTGCTCAAGATGCAAGCCATCTGCAACCCTGACCATTTCATCGACTTCCAACCGATTGAAAATGAACTCCTCCTCGATGTGATGAAAGTATGTATTACTGCTATTATTTAGCTAATTACAAGATATTTCACTGTAAACAAATTATGTGTTGTATGGATATTGCCCCCCTCAAAAGAAAAAGTTATACATGCTCATACTTCTTCATATGTAAAGATTGTTTCTTCTGAACTTCAGAATAATTGCAGTGGATCCTTGTATTGAAGATCACTGATATAACAAACTCTAGCATTATAGAGTAAATATTGTTGGCCCCACTTCGTGATATGCACATATTTAGGGAATACTAGCTAGATTTCTGTTTTTCTGTACTTCTTACCTGCTGTTTTACTCTTCCTAAATCATTGCTTTGTATTCGTGAACATGCAGATTTCCAAACTAGGAAGAAGAAAAAAATCCCAGCAATAATGACCTGAACTCAAGCAATAATGAACTGAACTCAAGCTTACCCCTTCATTTCAATGATTTTTATATATTTTCAGAAATGCCTAACAAGAGATGTGAAGAGGAGGCCGTCAATAGAGGAGCTACTCAACCATCCTTATGTGAAGAAACCGTTCCCTGCAGGTACAAGGTTTCTTCTACATACTTCAGCAAGTTTGGCAGCTGTGCCCCACCCCACCTGATTAAAAGAAACCTCACCCCATGAAATAATTTTAGTTATTATGAGAGATTTATTCTATACTTGTCCATCAATCTAGAAGGTTACCACTAAAGTGTATGAGAATGAAAAAAAAAGAAAAAGTATTTACATCAAAAAACAAATAATACTTAAAAGAAACATATTTCCACCAGGTCTTGATAATCGATTTGAAGGACATTATTCTACATTGCCGTTCTCCACCAAGGTGTAGTGAAAGGGTCAATTCCTAGGAAAAATTTCCTTGAACGCTTGAGTGCATTATCATCATTGTAACTGGGATAATAATACAATAACAGGCCCTTTTGATAGTAAGAGCAATATTAATACTGATGAGGCTACCCTGGGTAAATATGGATGCGTAGTTATCAATAAGTTTTGTTTTATTTATGAATTTCACTGTTGCCACTATTGTTATTGTTCTTCTTTCTCATCCTCCTCTTCTTCTTCTACTCCTATCATTCTTCTTCCTCTCCCTTTTCTTCTTCTTCTCCTTATTCTCTTTTTGTGTGTCTTCTTCTTCTTCTCCTCCTCCTCCTCCTCCTCCTCCTCCTCCTCCTCCTCCTCATTTTTCATGATGATGTTGTTATATGTAGTTGTTACTAAATTAATGTTAACATTTTTCTTTCAATATACTTAGCGGAGAAGTCCACAGCAAGCCTCACCACAGAGCACATAAGTGCCCTAGTCTCCCAGCTCAGTCAGAGTCAGATTAACTCACCAAGGAGTATAGCCAGACTTGCACAGGTAACCACATTGCAAACTGCCAACTCTTTTGTCCTAACTTTCAAGCACCCTTTCTCAATATGTTTTGTACAGAAAATTCACAAAATTTCTATTTTCTTGGCTTATGAAGAGTTTGTCTTTGTACAATAATTATTTGTGGGGTACTTGTACAATCTTTTGGTACAGAGCAAATAGGACTAGATCTTGAAAGATACACATGTACATCATAAGGTTGCCAACTTGTAGTTTCACTGACCATAACTTATCTTGTGTTTTATTGGATTTCCTCAAAATTTCTCTGATCTTATGTCTCATTTTCTGCTTTTATTGATACCATCTTAATAGCATAGGGTGGACTTTCCCTTTAACTGAAAGTCTGTTACATTGATTGAACAGGTTGCTAAAACCAAGATGAAGCTTGAGGTCTTTTGCTGTGAACTGCACTTGGGTAATTGAGGAGGACTCATTACTAAAGCATAAAATGCAGGAAATTGGTTTCAATCCTCAATGGATTTTTAAGAATGTCACTCATTCCCACCTAGTCCTATACATGTATGTGTAACTGCCTGTTTTGGTGGCATTGTTCTCATTTTGGGCCCTCAGACTAGTGTTATGAAGCCTATATATATAGTAACTATCTTTTTCTGGAATCTGTGAAAAAAAACATTACCCCCCCCCCCCCAAATTAAAAAAAAATGAATTCATATATTTACTTTGAGAGGTTCCTTTTTTGTTGTTGGAAGGTATAGATGTACTGTGTCCTTGTTGTAGAATAAGAATTCAGATACAGGTATTTATAATCTGGCATAACAGCAAAAGAATTTGACATCATTCTCTTGTACTTGTTGACAGGGTGTGGTGGAACAGATCAGTAGAGGGCAGCAGATAGACATATCCAGTGCAGTGAAGGGCAATGCTCAACAGCAGGTAACCTATCTATTCATCAGTGATAACATTTCTCAATATAACAATCTATTTTAAAGTTGTGGTGTTTGATTTAGCTCCAAGGGTGCTCGGGTAAATTGAAAAAGAGCTCCGGTTAAAAAAACTATAAAAATACTTTACTATCACTGTAAGAACATTTATTATTATTATTATTGTTATTATTTATTCGGCAAAAACAAAGGAAATCTTTGAATACAAAACAGGAGTACTTTTGGAAAAGAGTCACATAGATACCATACAACTCCAAATACTTAAAGAGCTCCTACAAACATAAAAATGTTTATTAGGATTAAACTATATTGTAAGTTCTAATTGTACTGATTTCATTGTGTATTTTGTTCTGTTGTTTATGATCCACAGCAGATTCCACAAGCTCCATCACAATACCAGTACCCCCATCAGCCACACCCTCAACCCCACGCCCACCAGCACCAGCACCAGCAGGGGCAGTTATCGGGTCATGATGGGGGCTACCGGTCCCAGCAGCGCGCCCCTCTGAGGGTCATCAACTCCTCAGACATGGCCTCGCATCACTCGCTTCTCAAGCCTCTCTCTCTAGCACCCAAGTACGACATCAGTTCTAGTCAAGAAAATGGACAGGTTTGTTTTCTTTTAAATCCCCATTGCACTACTTATAGCTGCTTGCGCCCTCTATATAGCAAAGAATGCTTAATCAGTGACCATAGTCCCTCATGATCCTCTTTTTCTTATGTTAATTGAGAGCTTATTTGATAAGACAACCACCTGTCAGTGACTATACAGCGAGGTCTAATCCCTCCCGGCCAAAATAGTGCGGTGGGGCTTTAAGCTCACCACACACTATACGATTTTTGAAGAAATCCCAATTGCAAAGCTGCCAATTGGTCCTATTTTGGAGGAATGATTGCTATTTGTTTTGTTTTCTGAAAACATCTGCACAAAAGCATGTGTAAATTACCATGTATTCCTAACTTTGGCTGAGTAGATTCCTAATTTTCGCTGTGGAAGGTCAGCAGGTATGTCATTGGATTGGATATACAAATTTGAATAATTCTAATCTACTTGATTTAGGTTGTTTTCTGATTATCCTTTCATTTATCTATTTAGAACCTCAATCATTATGTTACATGTTTGCATGCTGAGTAATACATGAATGCGCCTTGACTCAAGCACCTAAATTAAGTTCAACATTATGATACATGTCATTTAATATCATAGACGTATCTTGGATTATCCATATTGCTGAATGATTAATAGATAATGAATGAAGATCACACGGCCTATGTCTATGTTTCTTTTCATTTGCAGATGAACACCTGAATATATGCAGCTCTTTCCATGACAAGATTACAGAATGAGCTTTGATCACTGCCTGCAGGAGCAGAAGATATTTGTGAAGGTTGCAGGAACTCTAGAGCTGCTATACCAAAGGAGACGATTGATTGCTGAAGCGGGACAGAATGACAAAGAGAAGAAATAATGTAGGCCTACTGTATCATGTGCAAAATCAATTGAAAATATACCAGGGGTGTGTTTCACAAAGATCCTAAGTCGAACTTAACTCTAAGATGGACTTAAACAGTATGGAAAGCCATTTGTAGCCTTAAAATAAAATGTATTCAAAGGAAAAAATCAAGTATTTTAGACTTTTCATAAATTCCACATGAAAAACATGAAATCTCCTTGATAATAGATAATATAAATGATTTTACTCAACATTTTATGCCTTTTGAAATAACGGCTTTCCATATTTGTTAAGTCCAACTTAAAGATAAGTTCAACTTAAGATCTTTGTGAAACACACCCCCCCCCCCCCCCCCCCCCCCCCCCCCCGGAGAGTCAGATAATTTGGTTATTGATGAGCTAATACGATGTCATGGTCCACATTGGATGCTGGTCACATAGATTCAGCAAAAAAAAAACTCAATCGAAACATAGTTTATGTCGTGCACAGGAAATAATTCCATACGAGAATTGGTTTGACAAAGGAAGACACTTTGTTATTAGGAGGCAGTGTAATGCAAAATTGCAAATACATGTAGTTCTAGACAAAGCCTTACTCTGCAAGAAAGATATTTTTGTCATATTGGTGTTGTCTTTGTTTATATATAATCATGTTCAAATTTGAAATCAAGGACTGGCCACCACAAACGTGTAGTGTAAATTGAAAGTGTAAAGTAGCACAGCACAATAATGTATTTGTAGGAAAATTCCTGTCCGAAACCTTCGAGGGTTGACAAAACATAACTTTATCTCATTAAGAGGAAGAGCTGTAATATTACGATGGGGATCTTGTATACATTCCTACTATAAACAAGTACTGGTATGTACCCCCTTTCAAAACTAAAAACAACCAGATCTGGGAGTGTGATACTTGAGATTACTGACATCACCATCGATCAATTGACCCTCATCGATTACGCAAGTGGATTTCAATGTCACTCATTTTCACTAAGATACCCAGGTCAAGATAGATATTTATTGGAATCTCATGCACTGCTTATTGTTGTATGCTTAGAAATACTAATTGCAAGTGCCTCTTCATGTTTCTCTGAGGCATGCATGTATTAACATATTTCGAGGGTAACATTTATGGGAGAATGGAGTACTTGTATCACTAATGATTGTGTATACCCTTGGGTCAAAAATAGAAATATAGATTACATGTACCTGAAATTTGTCCATAATTAGCGAATTTTGAATGAATTGCTTGTGTACGATTAATGATTTATACTATCTTGTACAGTAAGTAGAGAACAGTACAATACATTCAAAAAGAGAACTGACTATTGGTCATTGTGAAAAATAACTAGTGACTTTCTAATTCTTGAGTTTCTTCTTCCTCTGTTGAGTATCATCCTAGCTGCAATGTCACCTAAAATGATGACCAATGAAATGCTTTCATATTTCAAATATCTAGTATTCGTACTTGCTATAGCTGTATGCTAGTCTCTAGCCTACAACTTGCAGCCTGGTTGATGAAGTCAATTTCTTTTCACGCTCTATCAAAATGAATTATTCCAGGCATATATTTATATATCAACAAAGAAAATCAATGGACATTACATTTTTTTTTTTTTTTTACGGTAATGTTGACAAGTTGACATCTATTATCCTTTCTGTTGTGCATAACAATTTATTCACAGTGCTTTATGTTTGTCTTGGCTTTGGATATTGCTATCCTGCTGCCCATAGCATTGATTGATTTTCGCCTATTACTTAAGAAATTGAAATAATACTATTCAAAAGGGAATACGTTAGGTATATGCATGTATATGCATGTAATCATAATCTGTTTTATCCAGCTATCAGAGTCAAAGAGGGACTGCAGTAGAGGCTCATTTCTATCTTCAAATAATTCCTATTCACAGACAGTGAACAAAGAGTGTTTGCTTCGTGTTAAGAGTGTTAAGAAGAAAATAAATGTGGCTATCATGTATATATTGTATCTTGCTGTAATTGTACACTTCATGAAATATATGAATATATAAGTTAACTATTCAAACATTTGTCAGTCTATATTATCATTGTTTATGTTAATTGTTTGCATTCCTGTATGCTTGCTTGCATGTATGTTTGCCTGTGTGTGTGTAATGTGTAAAGTTGAAGAGGATTTGATATGACATCTGGAATTTTATCCTAACACATATTATTTTGGGATACATGCCATATTGAAAGACTTGCAAGTTTCCCCCTTAAATATCATTTAACATGGACATTTTATTATACGTGCCTTATGTAATGGCTATATTCAGTTTTTTAGTATTTGAAAAATTGCATTCTACTCAACAATCAAGTGGTTTAAAAAAAAAGAGAATATCACATACAAATGTAATTCATTTACTTCAAAAGGTCTTCAGAATACAAATACAAATACATGTACATAAAAACAACAAAGGTGTTGGATACTGCCTAGAGAAAAAAAATGGACAATTCAAGGCAAAAATAACCAAACAAAACAATATACAGACTAGAAAATACAGGTATAGAAATTGGTCGCATACCGACACATTCAGGGCAAAAATAATTCATATAAGAATAAGATCTGACTTGGATTGGAAAGTAGAAAATAATTTTATGAGTGCATGATTGTGAAGTACAATGATTTGGAAGGTCTCTGAATGACAGTATGTGGAAAGAGCGAATTAAATGTTTAGAATGGTGTTTCAAATGAATAGTAATGATACAAACACAAAACTATTTTAGAAAAAAAATCACCCCATAGAAATCATATTAGCACATTTCAATCGGTGACGCAGAAAGTTATTTGAATTTCCTTAGGTTGATTTCTCTAAAGTAGTTGCTATCTTGTGTAATATTACTGTGTCGTCTTTAAGAAATACAAAAATGCAACAATGATGTAAACAATTTAGAAGACACACAATAAAGTGAAGTTCAATAACAAATACCGGTACGTATTTTGCAAATGACGACCTCGTGGAACAGAGACATGAGTTCCAAAATATATTTTTCCATATCAAGAACAATAATGAAGAAAAATGTCCTGGTAGAAAAATGAATATTTAATCGAAAACAGAAATATATCACCTTTGCATGCTATGGTAATTGAAAAGATTTTATTGAAATTCATTTGCAGCCAAATGGCTGAATTGCAGAATTGTTTACATTGCGTAAAAACATAACTAATTATACAAACATAAATAAACTACCGTAAAATTATCCAGCAAATCGTATTAAGAGATTACATTGCGTAAAAACATAAATAATTATACAAACATAAATAAAGTACCATAAAATTATCCAGCAAATCGTATTAAGAGATTACTTTAGATTTAATTTTCGAAATAAATCAGTTATACTGGTAATAAACCTAGTTATTCACTTTTTCAAAAGCGTTGAGGTCTATCATGAGGATAATAATTGACAGGTTGGAAGTTGCCTCTTTTTATAACAGTATAATATGTCATCTTGAAAGTTTTACAGGGATTCACGCTTAAGTGCGAAATGGCACACTCCTTATATCAATATGATGGAAAATGAGCACGATTACATTTATAAAAGGGACACTATCATGTAGGTTACTGTTAGCGTTTTCCCGGAATTTTGGACCTTGTGCTGTAAGATCCACCGCCTTCCCTTGTATTGCGGTGGTAGCAATAAAGGCTAGCTTGACACACATTATACGATTTGACTACACGATTCGATTTTGGTAGATTTAGCAATAGCATTTGATGAACATGGATCAAGGAACTGAATAGTAATATGTTTAAAAAGGTCTAAACCACCAAAATTCCAGTTGTTTAATCAATCAGAAACTAAATCGGGAATATGATTAAATTTCTATATCTAATACAATTTACATTTCTTCAAAACTCAGATCGCGGGAGGATCGTCTGGGCATTACACAAAGCTACTCGAATTCATTGATTCTAGATATTGCTAATAAATATGGCACATACTGAAAGTGACATAGGGAAATAGAGGTTTAAAAGGGGTCCTTATCAAAGTAAAATGGGCACTTATTAGAAAGAGAAAGGGCAATCATTTGAAGGCCAATTATTTTCGCACATTTCAAAAGGCGATGAACAAGGCCCCTGAAAATGCTTTAGGTTGTTTTTCGAAAGTCTTTACAGTTGTGATAAGAATGACAACCTTATATGGGCGATTAAAGGGAAGAGAGAAAGAGGGGTGGCGGAGGGGAGGGATGCGGGTGACAGAAGAAATGGGCACTTTTTTTAATCTCCAATCTTGCTGCAGTTATATTATCAAACATTGGATCTGTAATAAAATTGATTGTTAGTTACGTTTACTGTGAAGCTTCATTATTTGATCGAGGTGCGATTATTTTGGAGACATACCATTAATCGAAATTCTTAATGTTACAGGGCTCTTTTGCGTTATATTTGAGTTATCCCATTATCTTTATCGAGTGGCCTCATTCATTTGTATTTTTCAGCAATCTTTTGTAGATTTTTTTAACGTGATAATTCAAAAAGATCAATTGAATCAAAATGAACAATGCTCATATGAATTCATTTGCAGCTGCACTGGCTTAATTTTTGTATTCCTTTTTTTTCTTCTTGCATTTTTTATTCAAGCAGTGCAAATTCAAAGTCTTTTAGGCCATTATGGCTCACATTTTCTTTGCAATTTTGAAAATAAAAAATAGTAACAATAGGCTCCTGGACATGGGTGTCGATCCCGGGGGGGGGGGGGGATGGGGGATATATCCCCCAATATTTCAGGTGGGGGGGATGGCCTGTACAATCATCCCCCCCAATAATTCACCATCACAAAAAAAAATAATAATAATGATGAGAGCCCGATGAGAGTTCATGTAATGGTTATTATACTCGTCTTTTGTCTTCTTTCTCTAATAATTCAATGAAACATCAAAGCTTCCGCGCTTCGCGCGGAGGAAGGGGAACTTGATTCAAACAAGGATTAATAGTCGAGAACGGTACAACGAATCGTCTTCTTTCTCTCATAATTTAATGAAACGTCAGAGCTTCCGCGCTTTGCGCGGGAGGGGGAGGGGAAACTGAATTCAGACAAGGATTAAGAGTCGAGAATGGTACAACGAATCGTCTTCTTTCTTTAATAATTTAATGAAA